AATTCTTTGGCTCCCTATCGAGAACGTGAGGAATGCCACCCGATATGACAATCTTGCTTGCCCAATTGATTTGGTGGGGCCTAGAAACATTTCTAGAACAAAATTTAACTATACTATCTGTCCCCATTTCCTATTTTATTTTATATCAATCAGGATTGTATAATATTAACTAACCATCTCACGATCTCGAAATAATCATAGTTAAAAAGAATTATTGTGTATTGCTAAAACAAAGAATATTCCATAGTTTCTATCAAGTTACAATCCGTGTAGAATTTCTTGTTTATAATTTATCGGATAAACCTTCCATTTCATCATTTCGACTTCCTCAGTTCGCGTGCCCACGGGCTCTCTTTACTGCAAATATATGTTAATTTATACTATTAAACATCATTCGAAGAATAATACTATCTCGGAAAAGAGGAAGCTATTGTCTGATAGGCTGGGATCGATTTAGTGTCCCGCGCTTCCAGAACATTTATTCACTCCGCTGACCCCTCGGCTCTCGAGAAAATCAACTTAATTAGGTACGGAGCACTTGATTTTTATCAGCGAATCAACTTTATACATTTATATCGTCCCCTTTTGGAGTTCGTCGATATCAAACGCCCGGCCGAGCGGAGAAATCAGTTCAAAGAGCAATTTTTTATTTGTCAAAAACAATTCATATAATCAAAAAATTGAATTTCAAAGTTAAAACAATTTGAAAATATAAAACTGTTTATAATACAAATTTTAAGTAATTATTCAAAATTAACTTCTTAGTTCATGCGTTCCGAGCTTTCACAGTAACAAACAGTATTGATCAATGCGATGATCATTTGGTTGGGCTTTAAATTCATGAAATGTACGTTTCATCAAACGGCACAGTTTTGAATTATCGATTAACAAATAATTACCTATCCTGAAAGGTTTTAATCTCCATAATAGCAATCTCCTTCTAATTTCTGAATGATGATAGCCTAACTAGTCGAACAGCGTTCATTATTCCTATCAATCAATAGCCAATTATGTATAAATCGTTTTTGTTTTATTTTTAAAGTGGATGTCTTGGCATACGAATTACAGTGGTATTTTATGAACGAAAACTACCGTACTCTTACAGATTTAAATTAAATTTTCGAAACTTCCTCTACAGAACGGTAACAAACTTTTATGTTAAAATAATTACAATTTGGAAGAGGAATAAACAAAATAATATATTAAATCTTCCTCTTCATGACGTCAAATTCTTTCTAAGCATCAACTCCAACATGGGTTTTTCAAGATAAAACTCCAAATCTGGCTCTGCATACCATTGACATCCCGTATGGCTGATTATTCGATCATCTGAGGAGAATTATCATGGATTTGGTCCTCCGATTCACGAAAAATCCTTAATGTAGCTTCCTTCTTTGTATTAATTAAAATTTTTAGTTGAGATAAAAAGTCAGTATCACGAGCGGGATTCCAACCCACGATCTTCGGCTAGATTCGCCGCGGTTCTACCACTTGAGCTATCGTGACCTCGATCCACTCGGACACTAACTTCCCATCTTAACCCCCACCTTTTTTAATTTTCCCTCCTTTTTTTCCATTTTTCAAATGTCGTGTAATCGGATTGGGTTCTCGACGATAAATGAAATGGCCTCGGAGAGCTTTAGTGAAGAGTACTTCTTTAATTATTAAAATGGCAAAAAGGAGGGAAAACACAATAAGGTGGGGTTGAGATAGGAAGTTGATGTCCGAGTGGATCGAGCTCAAGTGGTAGAGCAGCGGCGTATCAAGCCGAAGATCGTGGGTTCGAATCCCGCTCGTGCCATTAACTTTTTTANCGTAGCATCGGGTAAGTGTGTTCCAGGTTTAATGCATTTTAAAAAGTTTGTACCTTTTAGTTATATTCTGGCTAATGGTTAAGAAAATTTTTGGCAACTGTACTAAGATGAGATTTATGTGAACATAACATCCTACTAAATTCACTAGTTTTCGTGGTACGCTTGACCAATTAATATCATTCAATTAATTAAGGTTTTTAGTTGAGATAAAAAAGTCCACTCGGGCACTAACTTCCCATCTCAATCCCACCTTTGGAATTTTCCCGCCTTTTTGCCGTGTAAAAACCTGTATTAATTGATCAAGCGGACCACGAAAACTAGTGAATTTAATGGGTTAAAATGAACTATACTTAACTAAAGCCATTTCATTTGTCGCCGAGAATCAAATAGATTACACTACAGTTGAAAAATGGCAAAAAGGAGGGAAAATTCAAAAGGTGGGGTTGCGATGGGAAGTTGGGGGTCCGAATGGATCGAAGTCACGATAGCTCAAGTGGTAGAGTAGCGTCGAATCAAGCCGAAGGTCGTGAGTTCGAAAGCCGCTCGTGACACTGATTTTTTTATCTCAACTAAAAACCTTACTTAATTGAATAACATCCTAAGCTAGACCACGAATGTCTTTTTTCCTGTATATTTTATATAGTTTACAAAACTTTTTAAAGTCATTGTACGTAAATTAATTACACGGAGCGAATTGAAAGCTGAAAGACTTGTTGAAGCTGTTGTGAGTTACGAGAGATTTACGCAAAGTTGAATAAAATCCTAGTGATTTAAAAGGCAAAAAGGAGATTTAGGCTTAACCTCAGACGAGGGCACCCGAAATGGGCGTAAACAAGGGCTCGTATTCGCCGAGTTAACATGAGAAGAGCACTTGTTTGCGTCCGGTTAATAACCCTCGCAATCCGACGCCCTTTCAATTTGGGCCCGGACGTATGTACGTCTTGATTTTCACGATAACAAAATCCCCTTTTTCCTTGATAGCAACAACAGAGAAAACGGCCTTGTATAAGGTTTGAAAGGAGTTGAGACGAAAAATAAAATCACTCACGAGTTTGTATAAAAAGCTTTCAACACGCTGACCGGGACGTCTCCGCTCACGAAGAGTGTATCAACATCCACCCGGCAAACATTTTGAGACGTGCAGGCGACGTTGTTTGGACTGGAAATTCAAAATAAACGCTGTCCGTAACGCATTTTCCATTAACAAGTTGTCGGCTTATGTGCTCACGGACCGTTGGTACTTCCTGCCACAATCCCGTGTCAACGGAATCTAAAACCCGTAAAAATTGTTGCTTCTCATTTTTTGCTACTTAAGTTCGAAGGAAAGCATTTTCAAAAGCATTATTTTTTCTTTCCCTGATCCCCATTTTAACTTCTAAAAATGTTAAAAAATTCCCACGTTATGAAAGAATCCGCATAAGATAAGACAGCCAAGAAGCCAAAAGCACTAAGACGTAAAAATGTTTATTGGATGTTAAGACCCAATGGAGTTCTGGGTAATGAAAAATTAAACATTCAATTGATCGGAAAAAACACATAAAAAACAACCAGGACCTGCAATTTGAAAAATGATACAACTCCATCCAGTAACGTGCCCACACAAAACAAAAATGAAAAATGAAAAATTTCGGAGATGCCAGACGCAATAAACTTATAATTAAAGTAATTTAACTAGACCAGAACTTTATTTTAGTTTGAGAAGGTAAACCTATAGGGAGTGATAGGACTATATGCCGGTCTGAGAAACATACACAACATGAGTATATACCCAATGATGAACCAATTTTCACTTTACAAAGGAAGGAAGAAATTTTCAGCATTATTATCTTCAATGACCTTATACTCCTTAAGAGAAAAATTGATTTAATTGAACTGAACTAACGAACTAGAAAAAGTTCCATAAGCCAAAAGCCTGCAGGGCTGGAGGAATACAAAACCTCCTGCTTATTAGCGTTTCATTTTCATCATCAAAGCATTCCAAGTACAAGTTCAAAGCATCATCATCCAATCTGAAATTTAAAAAAAAAAACATAAAAATTTAACACAGCACATCTCTACTTTCTTTTCAGAAATTTAGAGGGATAATTTTGAAGTCCCTAGGAAGCCATACCACGGTAGAAAGGGTGAATTAGAATTTGAGATATTTTGAATAAATGGATGTGTGAATAGTAAGATTTGATATTTAGAAAGGAGTACCGACTAATTTTCGACGGATCTTGGATGGATGGAGTTTGAGTTCTTTTGGTGTAGTAAACTAAAGTTCAAGTCACTGAGTTCATATTTTTTGTAAATATTTTATAATTATGGAATCTAATAAAACAGCCAATGTAATTACAGTAGCATTTGCTAACTTGCAATTTTTTTTAAATATTGTACTAAATTAATTAATACTAAGTTAATCTAATGCACGTGAAAAATACCCAGATAACTTACAGTATCAGAATAAAGGACAAAATTCCAGTAAAATGAAAAGAAAAGTAATCTGATTATTTTTATTGATTGTTTTTATATAATTAATTTATTTCAACTCATCTCAAACGAATAAACAAAATTTCGAAAATGTCTGTGTGATACAGTAAAATTGTTAAGAGGAAAGAAGATTTCTGTAACAGAAAGCACAATGTGTTCAAGTAAATATTTTGAAACTTATAAAACGATTAAATATTTAATTCCCTGGTTTTAAATGTATTTTCCGTTTGTTGCTTAAGATTTAAAACCGTCGAGAAAAAAAACCTTAAATAATATTCTGTATGTTACTGTAGACGGGAGTTTGCTTAGGACTGGGTAATGAGAATTTGATGGGTAGAATGAAAAACACTACTTCCACCCCTCAATCTTTGTCAACCCTCGGTATATTTTTTGTAATTTTTTTTTATAACCTTTCCCACTTCTGGTTTAATAATTAAGGAACGCGTGAAATATTCAGCTTTAGATATCGGACTTCATAAAAGGATCGATTCTTGGTGACAAAGGAAGGTTTCGGGTCATTAGAACCGGTTTTACAAACGTGAACAGACTTGTAATGTTGTTGTTTTCGGAACAGCAACAAGTTAAAGTCAAACCGAGTTATAACTTCTACTCATAGCCGGATTATTCACCCTTACATATATCCTTTCTAAGCCTAAGATTTATTAAGCCAACCTATCCACGTGTTCGAGCACGGTTTTGACTTATTCGATTTCACAGAGGGTGAGAGACACGAGTTACGTCGTTCGTATAAACGGATGGAATAAAGACAAAGACCGAGAAAAAATCTCCGCAGCGGACGATGAATGCAAAACCTTGCGTGATATGGATTCGAAAGACACGGATCTATTTGAAGGTCCTATAGCCAAATTCAGATGGAGGACGACAGCGTCATACTACATGTGCCTGTTTACGTTGGAGGTAAGAATATGTGGCTATTTACTGAATTTCTGAATTTTTTATTTTTTATATTTGCCTCGAAACCAAATTATATTTAAATAATTAAAAAAAAATTGCATACAGCGTACAATAAAATCGACCAACTAAAATCGATCATTCTAAATATTCATTAAATTCACTAATTTCGTGGTCCGATTGACCAATTTAATTCTTTTCAATTAATTAATTTTTAATTAAGGTTTTGTTTCAGATAAAAAAAGTCAATGGCACGAGCGTGATTCGAACCCACGATCTTCGCTGCTCTACCACTTGAGCTATCGTGACCTCGATCCACTCGGACATCAGCTTCCCTTCTCAACCCCACCTTTTGTGTTTGAAAAATGGCAAAAAGGAGGGAAAACTCAAAAGGTGGGGTTGAGATAGGAAGTTGATGTCCGAGTGGATCGAGGTCACGATAGCTCAAGTGGTAGAGCAGCGGCGTATCTAGCCGAAGAATGTGGGTTCGAATCCCGCTCGTGCCATTAACTTTTTTTCATCTCAACTAAAAACCTTAATTAATTGTAATGTATTAATTGGTCAAGCGGACCACGAAATTAGAGAATTTAATGAATTAAAATGAAGTACACTTAACTAAAGCATTTGTCGTCCAGAATCCAATCCGATTACACGGCATTAGAAAAATGGCAAAAAGGAGGGAAACTTCAAAAGGTGGGGTTGAGATGGGAAGTTCGTGTCCGAGTGGATCGAGGTCACGATAGCTCAAGTGGTAGAGCAGCGGTGTATCTAGCCGAAGATCGTGGGTTCGAATCCCGCTCGGGCCATTGCCTTTTTTATCTCAACTAAAAACCTTAATTAATTGTAATAATCTAAATATTATATTAATCCTAAATATAGTCGTTTCTTTTAGCTTTACTACGTTTCCAAATACTCGGTCTTCCTTAAAAGGACAATGAGGATCTTTAGCGTCGGTATGTAGCACCTGGCCTTACCGGACTTTTTGATTCTCAAGATGTGAGATATCGCACCTCCGCTCGCGACCCGATGGGTGTTAGAGCAGCAAGCGTTGGTGTAGAAGTCGTCGAACAGAAATAGAGAAGAACCTCACTCCCCGCTTGCCCATTCCGAGTGGTCGGGTCTGCATTGTGCATCAGACCATATGCCGCGCGTAAAGGGCTACCCAAGGTGACTGAAATGCATCAGCCTGGTCTCCCTCGCACTCCCTAGATAGAGAAGGCGATTCTATCTCCCAGAGTATTGGGACTCCTCCAGCATTATAACTTCTGGATCTGCTCCGGCCGCTGTTTTGTTTAAAGTGGAATTTCTAACCATCCCCTAGAGGAGACTCCCTTCGGTAAAGGAAGCCCATGCAGGCACCACTAACCACTATTTGTTCCCATCCACCACTCCTCACACATTCGAGGGACTCCGTCAGCTTAGTCTAAGCGTCCTCAACGCTATACGCTTCGATGGTCCTATCCTTCGTATCCCGTCAGGCCGGGGGTTGAAACGAAGGTCAGACGCAAGTTTGTAGGCGGAGGTCACAGACAGAAGAACAGCCTATTCTCTCAGTTCCCGCCAGGAGCACCGCCACTAAGCCACTACGAGGCCATTCCCATGTAGCAGGTATAGACATAGAACATTTTCTTCCTAGATACCCCTCCTGCATCCAAGGATTGGAAGCGGTCTCAAGGAAGTATGCCGAAGGACATGGATTGGGAAAGGGAAGTGACCGAGGACACGACGCTCGCCTTTTCAGGTTACACGTCCCGCCTCGACCACTGTACCAACCATTGCCACAGTAGTTCCACATTATGTGGGCTATGGTTCCCCTGGGTGGATGGATAGAAGAGATGAGATGGACCTTCAAGCGCCGAACGACCGGCACACACTTCGGATCAAAGCTGTTCATTCTCAGATGTATGGGTGAATTCAGGTGGAGAGGTGGTCAGCCTCCCCCCAATGGGTAACGGGCGTCCACGAAGCTTCGCAGGCCGACATCTCGGACCAGTCCATCCCCAAAGACCAGCCGGACCAGTCAGTATTTGGTACTCCACTGAATGAACAGTTGCGTTTAGCTTTATGTTTCTTTGGGGGGAACGTCTTGGCTGAGTGAATGAATTTATCGATTTCTCTCCATTTCCCTACATATCGATTTATTTGTCTCTCTTACACTTTTATTTTTATTAATTCTTCTTTTCTGTCTGTATCTCCTTTTTCTGTGCCTTTGAGTCTTATTCATTTTATATTTATCTTTTTCTGTATGCAAAAATTTAGAACATGTATGGGTCTACTTATATATTCGTATTTCGCTCCTTCTTTTTTATCTCCCNTCTCTCTCTCTCTCTCTCTCTCTCTCTCTCTCTCTTTCTCTCCCTCCCTCCCTCCCTCTGTTTCTCACTCACTTATTCTTTAGATCATTACAATCTCTATCCCTCATTAATTTTTATTTCTTCAGCTTCCTTTCCGTTTTTTATAATATAAAATTTAATTGTACAAAATGTTATGGCTTGGTGGATCGTTCTTAAATAAAGATCGTACAAGGTTCTAAAATGGACATAAGATTGGGATAATTCTTATCGGCAAATTGTAAATAAAAGAGGGAAGTTTTCAGAAATCAAATGTTCCCTTTCGGCACCTCGGACTGAAATTGTTTTTAAATGAAAAAATCGTTTGTCTGATTAACAATCCTTTTAAAAATCAGAATAAACAGTTTGTTAAAATGTTGACTGTGTTATTTAATAAGAAATTAATAAACTTTATTTATTTTAAAATGTTTCATACGTTAAAATTTTACCCAAGATTATAAAAATTATATCGCACCCTACGTGCCTTCTGATTTGTATTAAAACGTGATTTTTTAGAATCTTTATTGTTTTTATAGGAAAACCCAGAATTAGCCACATTCGGTGAGCCGTGCGATTCTTTTGCATCCTGCGCTTGGGGTGACTTGGAGTTCAGCAATAAAGACCCGAGAGCGGACGACACCCAACCATTTTTCTGTGCAATGTACAGGTAAATGTAACAGTCAATTATTTTTTAGCTTTGCTGATGGCTCTACAAATATTAAGAATTGTCTGTTAAATATATTGTATTAAAAAAACTTTTTCTCTCGTCATAATTTCTCGGAAAGCATTCAGGTTGATGTATACATTCTCTTTTAATATTCTCAAATCATATATTTCTATTTTTTTTTTTCAATGGTTTTTCCATTGTACTAATGAATTTTTTTTTGTTAAATCAAAATTAACTAAATTCTATAATTTTTCATTTAGCCCATTTTATTAATAAGCACTTTTAATTAAATGAAGTAATTTTAACATTTTCATAGATGAAATTCTTCTAAAAATAATCCTTTGTTATCTAGTTGTTATTGTTTCCCTTGCTGATTTTTTAACTAGCGAAACATTTTCATTAGCAGGGCTAGTTTCATTTAGAATTGAGCGGAGAAAATATTTTTATATTGAAAATAAAAAGATATGTCTGGTAGAAAGTGAAAGTTTATTGTTTTGATGTCGTTTTTTTAGATCAATTTCTTTTCTGCCTTTCAACTCATTATTACGTACGCCTTAGGCCAACAATAAGATTATGACAACGGCAAAAGAAGAGATTAGTGAGTATGTGGATGCCAGGAAATTACACTGCGAATAGTCAGCTAGCAGCGGCCCGTTGTTGTACATTGTTTCGCATAAAGCGGGGAACATGCCCTATGCAACGCTATGCGACGCTACCCGATGCTACTCGACGCCTTGTCTCGTTTTGGTAGGGTGTGCACATCTATGCGACGTCAAGCGTTCAGTCAGTCACACAGCGTGTATCACAATAATCACTATCATAATCGCAACGCCTCTTTTGTTCTTAATGCACTATTTTGAGCAAAACCTTGTAATAAATTGTTATTTAAATTTTACGAGCACAACGATGCAATATATTGTTAGTTAAATTCAATTGTTTTAAATAAAGTTATTCAGGTGTTTCGATAAATTTTCTGACTAACCATGATAATTAAATAATTCTTATAAAAACTCGTGAATTTTTGACCTCATTTAATTTGGTTTACATTAAAATAAGTATGTTGTAATTAATGTGTGGGGTTTAGTGACGGTTAGTTAATGATTATTTGGAGATAGTGAGTCGCGGTCTGGTGTAATGTAGCTTTTAGAAAAGCATTTTCTATATCGTGCCAACGTTTCGATCTTTATTGAGATCATCTTCAGAGCTCAAAGTGTTCGTTTTCTATGCAGATGTGTCATTATTTGGTGTCGTGTTGAGAGTGCCCTAAGTTGTAATTAATATAACTACAAAATTACATATACGTAGTTCGAAATAAAGCTCAAAAAGTATGAGTGTCCGGTTCTGACGCTATTCAATGAAAATGGTGTAATTTTATGAGCAAAACCATGTAATAAATTGTTACTTAAATTTTATGAAAAAAACCATGAAACAAATTGTTAGTTAAATTAATTTTATCAATAAATGGTATTCCATGGAATTGGTAAATTAAAAATTCCTGAATTTTTGATCTCGTTTAATTTGGTTTACACTAAAATCAGCATGTTGTAATTAACATAACGACAAATTACATATACAAAGTTCTAAATAAACTACGAAAAATATGAGTGTCGAGTTCTGACGCTAGGCGACGAAAATGGTGTAATTTTATGAGCAAAACCATGTAATAAATTGTTAGTTAAATTTTATGAACGAAACCATGTAATTTATTGTTAGTTAAATTTTATGAGCAAATCGATGAAATAAATCGTTAGTTAAATTCATTCTATCAATAAACGGTATTCCGTTGTTTTGACCAACTGTCTGCAAAATCATTAAAATTATTTTTTTTTTAAATAAAACTAATGAATTTTTGATCTCTCTTAATTTGGCTAATATTAAAATAAGTATGCTTTAATTAATATAACGACAATAATACATATAGTTTGAAGTAAAAATATGAGTGTCCGGTTCTTTTGTCTTCGACTGTACTCGATGCTACCCGACGAATCTGGACAGTGGGGATCGCAGAGCGTAGAGTAGGGTAGCATAGCGTAAGTTCGTTCCCCGCTTTAATCACAACTGACACATGTCCAATGTCGCTTCTTTGAGTCGTTTTAATCTTTGTCCGTTAATAATACATTTAGACCTGATGAAAAGGTAGTTTAATAACCAGAAAAATATATTCGTCCCTAACTAGCAGAGATATGAGGGCCACAATTTTTTTAAACAATAATTCAATAAAAATGTTATTCTAGTAATAACAATAATTCTAGTAATATATATATAAATTTACCAAGATTGTATTTTTTATATTACACAATGGAGATTAATTCTGCCTGAGGAGGTTTCTTTCTTCGTAATTACATTCTGCGTACTGTATAAAATAGCAAAAACAACAAAAAAGTACATAAAATTATATTTAATTACCATAGCGCCGTTATATAAAAAGATTTTTTTTTATAAAAAAATGAGCTTTGGATAAATATTTAAAAAATATATATTATCACAAGTCGTTCATTTGTGTAAATCATCGACTGCTTATTTTTGTTTTGTTAAATTTGGAACATTTTGTTACGTGAAAAGCTAAAAAACAAAAATTAAAATAGACAAGAGCAATCTTATTTATGTGATAATAAACCATTCATATTAGTAAATTTTTCTACTAGTACTATTCGATTAAATTGATTGAATTTTACGACGTTTCAACAGCATCATCTAATTTTGGGTAACAAGAAATAGTAAACAATATAAAAAGAAGCACACAAAAATACATTAAAAAACAGAATTTGGAAGCTATCCAACAGCCAAAACAAATGTTGGGTTCTGTTTAAAAAAGGGTTTATTGTTATAATCTGTATATCTCTGATATTAAACATGATTCTTTTTAGAAAAACAGTTACGATACGAATATATAAATGGGCTCAATTTTTTGCCCAATATTTACAAGAAATTTTCAAAATAAGTTCAAAGAAAAAAAAGAATGAAAGAAAATCTTTACACTCGCTTATTCGGAAGCAATGCAAACTTTCAATGCAAATAAATCTGTAAAAAAATATTTTCTTCTTCTCCCCGTTAAACATTCAATGATGATATATATTATCAGGACAACGAAACAAAAATAGAAAAAAAACAGCCAAGTTAACGTTATACTTTATAGTTTCTGCCCAGATATTTGCTGTCCTCTCAAATATGTTCGGGATTTGGCCGAGTGCGAGTCTTCGCCGACCAACCCTTGCAGGAACAACTCGACGGTGAACGAAATCTGCAAATTTGAACGGAGCAAAAATCGAGATTTGACTTCAATGATCAAAAACAGATGGAACGTCACTTGCAACTGCATGCCAGGTTTCATCTGGGACTCAAGGTAAATTAATAGACCTTTTCTTCTGCAGTTTCATAATTTATATAACAAACAAAAATTGGCATGATTAATTTTATTTTATAATTAACATAATTGATTGCTAAAGCAAAAGGTGCTGTAAAAGAAAGAATCTATTCAAACAAAATGGCTGACTCTTTCTAAAAAAATATGATTATCGATTTTTAAAAACCTTATATAAAACCAAAAGTTTTAATCTAGCTCTCCAATGCAATAATGATTTTCCCTCATTTTTATGTGTTTTTTTAATTAAGCGAATTTTAAATATGTCCTCCGTGGAGTAACCCTTGAAAAGCTTTTAGTTGTCGAGTTGATAAATTGTAAACCCCCCTCTCTGTTAATTGCAAGAAAATGTAATTTCAAACAAGCGAAATAATCCTTTTTTTTAAAAAAGGCAATCAAGAAAGAGAGAACTGTTGTTTTTTCCATCCCCAGAGGGAGATCGGCGATGGAGAATGGAAGTTGACATCCCCTCGGGAAACGTAAATGTTTACTCTCTTGAAAACGAATAAAGCGGCCTCACTTTGATCGAACGCATTTCCATGAATGAACAGAAAATAATTACGAATTTAGAAAAAAATTTCAAAGCGTTTAAAATAATGAAAACAATCAATTTTATCGTATCTTCTTACTGATGTTTTGTCAGGAATGTATGGTTCATGTTTTATAAAATAAAGAAGAATTTAAATTAATATAAAATATATCTGGTTAATTAGGCGAATAAAAGTAACATAATACGTGTGTGTGTGTGTGTGTGTGTGGTGTTTAGTGACCATTAGTCAATGATTATTCGGAGATCATGAGATGCGGTCTGGTGTAACGTACGTTTTAGGTAAAAATTTTCTTTATCGTGCCAACGTTTCGATCTTTGTTGAGATCATCTTCAGGGCCTGGGATTTATAAATAAACATTGTTTGAATTTTACAAATACATGTAGGATGTGGAGGGAAAAAAAATTTATACAAAGCTAGACAATTGTAAATTTAAAAAAAATATATATATATAATGCTAGAAAATTTTAGATTAAAAAATAAAGAATGAATTTATACAATGTTAGAAAATTTTGGATTAAAAAAAGAATGAATTTATGCAATGCAAGAAAATTTTAGATAAAAAAAGAAAGAATGAATTTATTCAACGCTAGAAAATTTTAAATGAAATATACAATGCTAGAAAATTTTAGATTAAAAAAAGAATGAATTTATTCAACGCTAGAAAATTGTAAATAAAAACAAAGAATTTATACAATGCTAAAATTTTTAGATTCAATCAAAGCATTTGCACTCCAATAAATCAATAAAATTTTCTAGCATTGTATAAATTCATAATTTTTTTCCACAACCCACATGTATTTGTAAAATTCAAACAATATTTATTTATAAATCCCAGGCCCTGAAGATGATCTCAATAAACATCGAAACGTTGGCACGATAAAAAAATGTTTTTCTAAAACCTACGTCATACCAGACCGCATCTCACGATCTCCAAATAATCATTGACTAATGGTCACTAAACACTACACATTGGTATCTTAGTTCTCTTGTTTGTTTTTTTAAACTACTAATACTATGTTTACTGTTCTTAGCCACTAAAAAACCGGAAATATGCCGTGAGATGAGAATGTTGATTACGAAATACATTCGTAGCAATAAAACGATCATCTCTCTGATTTATGCCTTCTTGAGTAACCTCCAGTATCTTGTTAGCGATGGAGGACACTGAGGACAGTGGTTGTGGGAATGTTAGGCACCCTGGCCACAAATGCATGACTTCTTCCATCTTCAAACAATTATAGCCGAATCTGTATTGCCTAAAACCATCACACACACAAATTTGAAATTAAACGAATAAACGAACTATTTGATACAGCTTAGAAAACTCGAACCAACGGAACGTCAGAAAAAGCTTAATCAAAAAACCAATAAAAAAAGTTTGAATAATCAATAATTTATTTAGAAAATCCAATGGTAAACACGAATGAGAGATTTTATCTTTTATTTATTTTAAAAACGAACAAAATATTGTTGCATGATAATCAACGGAGGACTTCTAAGAGATAATTAAAAATATTAAATGTGGCCACTTTTTCTACCTCTTAGTGTTTTTTTTATCTTTCAACACTAATGTTTCCGTTGAATTTGGGTTGTGATCAAAAGGAATAAATACTAGGTTTGTATCAACGCCAAGCTATCGATAAGTTTTATTGTCTTCCTCAGGGCACTACAAAGACAGATAACAATTAATAAAATAATAATACAATTTTTGTTTCATTTTGGCTTCTCACAGATAGTCAATATGTAAACAAATGGTTATACATCATGTCACTCATTTTTTACCTCGTCGTCACACAATTATTATAAGATATATGTACATAAATAAATAAAAAACTTGTTACAGTTACATATATCACAGGTGTTTTCTAGATGAATTGCAATACTTGTTATCACGTGGGAGGTTCTTAAAACTGCCACCAACTAATAATTAAATTTTTTCTTCTTTTTTTTCGGTTTAGATAAACAGGTTGTGATAATTGTTTTTAAGAAATCCTTGTAAAAGAAAAGAAAAAAAACTTAGTCCTGTTGGTGGCAGTTCTAAGAACCTCCCACGTGAAAACAAGTATTGCAATTCATCTGGAAAAACACTTGTAATATATGTACCTGTAACAAGTTGCATATTTATTTATGTACATATATCTTAAAATAAATGTGTGAAGAAGAAGTAAAAAATGAGCGACATGATGTATAACCATTTGTTTACATATTGACTGAGTATCTGTAAGAAGCAAACATGAAACAAAAATTGTATTATTATTTTATTAACTGTTATCTGTCACTGTAGCGCCCTGAGGAAGACAATAAAAACTGTCGAAAGCTTGGCGTTCTTACAACACTAGTATTTGTTCCTTTTGACCACAACCCAAATTCATCAAAAACTTCGGTATTGTGTGTTGGTCGATCGCATTGGATCCATTATTTTCACAACAATTGTTAATTAATCTTGATTTACAAATATGCATACAATTTTCAATCCACACACACAAAAAAATTATAAACTCCGCAATTCATAAAAAAATTCATTGTATTCAAATCCTTTTAAATTTTAATTGCAAATTCAATGGAGAAATGAGATTTTTATGCAATAATAGTTTTTTTTATAAAATGCTTCATTGCCCGAATATTTGCAAATATCTACCATTGTTATATTACATTGTGTTTACATAATCCTCAGGCGATCCGACTATCGAATGCGCGAGGGCAATTTGTCCCCCCCCCAAAAAAAAGAAATCACATGTACGCTTTGTTTCATCAGATTTCTTATTTAAGCGAAAACAATTACAGAGTAATTATAGTATAAATCCCATTTATTGCCATATTTTGGTTTGAAATAGCCGTCCGGTCGTTCATTCGGAAAAAATGAATGGAGGGGGATCGACCGTTAATCGCTCTTTCCACCCTTAAAGCCCAGACTTACTTTCAGACCACTTATTTCAACCACTGACCCGCATTCATCACATTCAAAAATCTATGAGAAAGAAATGAGGATAATAGAGGCAATAAAAATAACTTCCCAGTCATAACGAGTAATTCGGAGATAAGTACACAATTGCAATTATTTACATACGTGGTGACATAAATACTATACCTTTTACATTTCATACAAATTAAATTTGCTTTTAAACCTCGTGATTCAGCCTATAAAAGGAAATTCACCTAGAATCTATTGAATATATCTAGATTTAAAATGCTAAGAAATGAAGGAAGAAATGCATTCTGTATAAATGTGTGGTGATTAGTGACCATTAATCGATAATTATTCAGAAATAAAGTACTTTGTTATGTACTTTTCTGATGTTCAAACAGACTCATTTTTTTCGGGTTTTCTTCGATTATTTTCTCTCCTCCTGTCTGACCGAACTTCGGGAGTTAAAGTTTCAAGTTCTATCCCTTCTTTTCTTAGTACTAAAGAGAGTAAAGTTGGCACGATAAAGAAAATATTTTTCTGAAATCTACATCACACCAGACTGCATTCTGTACTTAATCGCAGAAAATGACATTTCATAAATTGCTCGATCATATCCTCCCGCCTAAGTCACTATGAGACAATGTTAGAAAACTTGGTCATAAAACCAAAAATGATCGTTCTCTGAAATGCCCTGGTAGCAACGAATTAAACGCGTTTCTTGTTTCCAGCTCCTTATCTCCCATAATTGAAACCCCATTTCCTGCTCAACTACATCACCGAAAATTGTCTTTTAGTTTTTGAAATATTAGCCATGAATTATTTTGAATCTATACTTTCAAGTAAATCTAACGCTACAGGTTGCAATCTTATTCCTTTCAAAGTTATCACTTTTTCCTTTCTATTACCTTAAAATACAAGACCCACTCCCTCGCCTCATCCTGTTTTCCTTCAGCACGGAGGAAGTCCGAAGTTGCTTTATCCAAGAAAATAAACCCACATTTTTTAGTGTGTATTAATATATATTAGGATTCTTCCATCACTATCTAATGTTTTCGGGAAGATTTTATTTAAACAAATCTGCTTACTTATTAACTCTCATGACGTTATATTTCATTTTTAATTTGACTTCTGTAAATTTTATAAGTGTGAGACACCCTTTCTCAAAATCTCAAATGATATCCTCTTAGCTATTGTAGATAAAACGTTTACTAAATATTATTATTCTACTTGATTTTTCTATTGCATTCGGCACGGTAAATCATAATTTTCTTATGTTCAATCAGTCTCATTTTTTCGGTTTTTCTTCGATTTTTTTCTCTCCTCCTGGTCTGACCGAACTCCGGGAGTTTCATTTTTCACCCCATTGGCGCGATAAAGAAAATGTTTTTCCGAAACCTACGTCCAACCAGACCGCATCTCACAATTTTTGAATAATTATCGACTAACGGTCACTAATCGCCACACGGTTTTCTAAAAGCTACATCACACCAGACCGCATCTCACTATTTCTGAATAATTATCGACTAACGGTCACTAATCGCCACACGTTTTTCTGAAAGCTACATCACACCAGACCGCATCTCACAATTTCTGAATAATTATCGACTGACGGTCACTAATCGCCACACGTTTTTCTGAAAGCTACATCACACCAGACCGCATCTCACGATTTCCGAATATACATTGACTAACAGTCACTAATCACCACACATAAAAAATAATATTTGAGAGAATATATTATTGTTATTATTATTAAGTATATTGTATTATGTTTTATTATTATTGTTGTTATTTTTTACGAGGGTTAACAACAGCAGAGGTCATATCAACCCTCAGTATGCCGGTGTTTTGGAAAAAAGCCCATTCGCAAGCATATCGGGTCCGAATGCAGGGCCGCTGGATTCGAACCCGAGAACTTTACCTTACAGAAATGAGCGCCGTATCAACGCGTAAGCCTTGCGGCCGCATACGCCCCCCAGATATTGTTGTTATTACTATCATTAGTACACTATCTTCAGAAAACTAAATTTATTTCTAATTAAAATACTATTTTGAACTTTTAAATAAATAATGTTTATTTCAGATGGTACATCAAGAATCAAACAAAACATACTGAACATTATCAGTGAAGGGGGGCGGAAATAATAGGATTAATAAAGTTTTTGGTCATACATGTTTAAGTATTATAAAAATCTTGTTTTATCCGTCTGTTGCAGTCGTATTTTGTAAATTCTCGAGTTTTTCCTTCCTTTTTTTTTCTTTTTTAAAAATATATTTAAGTTAATTTTAGCCTCTGGGCTTGAGGTTAGATTTACATCTGATAAAACCTGGGTACTTTTTATTTATAGGTTTGGCATGTGCGTCGATTTCGATGAGTGCTACGAAAAGGCCAACGTGTGCGACAAGTCTTCGGAGACGTGCGTCAACACGAAAGGCGGCTACGAGTGTTTCTGCGCTTTGGGCTTCGTTCAAGCCGAGGGCCATTGCGTCGCCGTCGACACGCTCACCCGATATGGGAACGTAAGCCGATAACGTCCCACATTCTAAAAGTTCGACCCAGATAAAACCTCGGCTAACAGAGAGATACGACACGAATTCCCAACCGTATAGTCACTCGGCCAACTTTCCCAAGTCTCCGATAACTTCGTCAAATAGGCGGCCCTGGTCTGAGTTGTTATTTCGATTCCTCGATGAATCAAACTTTCGACCGCCATTTAAAAGAAAATGGAGATAGGAGGCGTCCAGATTTTTGGTTTGAAACTAGAGAAAAATGTAAACCTCAATTTGTAAGACAAGAATCAAACAAAACATAAATGTGAAATTATTATGATTTCAAAGTTCCTAACAACTCTACATTGCTGAACCTTGGGTCACTTTTTAGGTCCATCTTTACTCCGGAGTTTTTTGTACTACTTAAAGGCGTTTCGGCATTGGACCATCTTCAGTGAGGAACTAGTAAAGGAAGTAACGAGTTTCTCGCAGAAGATGGCGAAATGCCGAACGTGCTTAAGTAGTACAACAAACTCTGAAGAGAAGATGGACCTAAAAAGTGACTTGGTTCAGTTCACCGACTCGCGCACCAGCAGCCAGCATTACCTGTAACAATATATTTGTCCATTTCCTTAGAAAATTTTGTTTTAATTAAAGTAAAAAATTTACTTTATAAAAAATAAAAAACATGTCCTTCTTAGTTTTTCGTCAGTTTTTCAAAAATTCCTATGGTTGAATTTTTAATCCGTAACTCGGTCAAAACAAGTGAGAACGTATTTTTTTCTTACCAAATAAAAAAGTCGGGCATAACTCAGAAATGGTCGATTCAATCAAAATTTTCCTTTCAGTAAAAGTGGCATAAAATAAGCTCTAGAATCGAAATTTAAAATAAAATGTGGTTCTCATTAAAAAAAAAAATTTCGTCAGTTTTTCAAAAATTCCTATGGTTGAATTTTTAATCCGTAACTCGGTCAAAACAAGTGAGAACGTATTTTTTTCTTACCAAATAAAAAAGTCGGGCATAACTCAGAAATGGTCGATTCAATCAAAATTTTCCTTTCAGTAAAAGTGGCATAAAATAAGCTCTAGAATCGAAATGTAAAATAAAATGTGGTATTCTCATTTAAAAAAAATAAAAAAATAAAATAAATTAAAAAAACAAGCTAGTGTCATTTCCCAGCTAGGTGAGAAAGTTGTGTTAAATGATTATTACCACCACGCGATTCTTAGCCAAAATCAACTTGAGGTTTGTACAAAATTATTTTTGCTAAAGTTAACCGGTTCCAAATTAAATGTGTGGACTGTAGAAGTTGATACACCCTGTATACAATAATTTATTAAATATAGATAAATTATATATATTTTGTATTTTTTCGTTTTCAGGTGAGTTTATTTACGATATTGAGGCATAAAAGAAAAAAGAAAAAGGTTGACTATTTTAAAAACAGGAATTTTACTAGAAAAAGTAAACGTAATATTTCACACAGGTTCGGTTCCATTACTATTCGGATTTTATTGTTTTTTTATTTTACTAAATTTTTAACAATACAGTAGGTTTTTCATATATTATGTTTATTTATTTACAAACCGAGCAACCTCTGCTTTTGTTTTATTAGTTGAATTTTCATTGTAAAGCTGTTTCCTGGAGTAGTCAGAAGTGGCTCATGCGTCGTCGGCGGAGAAGCATACAGACATAACTCGGGTCGCGGCAGAGTACAAAACGCAATCTAACTAGTTACTAATTCCAGCTTTACAAGTTTTCCAATATAAGTTGCCTGAGTATGTGGCCACCTGAGTCGGCCTAGTGCGCACACAAACCCTAATGGGATAATTGGGGAACCCGTTACAGGAGGTGCTTGTTTATTCCCGGCGAATTCCCAACACGTCCTGCGTCGAGAACACGGGGCCATTCGTATGGGGGAGAGAGGATGGACGAAAATTGTACTCTGATATTTGAAGAGGTGAACTTCGCGAAAAAAAACTATTTCGCAAAATGTGTAATTTTTCTTAATATATCATATTCCACCCTTGAAAAAGAAACCAAGACTTAAAACATACAAATACAAAAGATTGAGAAGCAGGAGAAGAAAAAACATCAGTAACAAGAGTAATTTAATCAATTAATTAAGGTTTTTAGTTGGATAATCGATTAACGGTCACTAATCACCACACATAACTTTAACTTTTTTCTGTAAGATTAAGTTAAAGTTATGTAACAATTCTAACATTATTTATAGATCCATCCATAGTTCGTGGTCCAATTAACATTTTTCAATTAATTAGTATGAAATGAAAGGTATTGGTTGAGATAAAAAAGCCAGTGTCACGAGCGGGATTCGAACCCACGACCATCGGCTAAATACGCCGCTTCTCTACCATTTGAGCTATCATGCCTTCGTTCCGCTCGGACACTAACTTCCCATCTCAGGTAGAGTAGCGGCGTATTTAGCCGATGGTCGTGGGTTCGAATCCCGCTCGTGACACTGACTTTTTTTATCTCAACCAATACTTTTCATAAATGTTATTTATAGAGTATCTTGTATGGGATGTCAAATATATTGGTCAGACCATGCAGGCTAAAAAATAGAATGTATGGACATAAACATGACTGTAAAAATCCACACAACACCGGGCACAATTTGGATTTTGATAAGGTTGTCGTGTTGCTTAAAGAATCTTCAGAAGTAGGAAGAAAAGTAAAGTAGACTTTGTACATTAACTTGGAAAAGAACTCTGGTAATGTAAAGAAGGATTTTCAAAAAATCAGTCCAGCTCATTCGGGTTTGTTACAATTTGTATGAGAAATACGTCACAGGTGTGATTATGTTATCACGTGTCCTTCCCAATAATTGTTTGGTTGGAGTTTTTGAATTGTTTATGTATAAATTAATAAGAGTTACCATTCCTGTTTTTGTAATATCTTTTTACTACAAATTTTATTTTAAAAAACAAAACAATATAGTAAGTATTTACCTGTACCAAAAAGTGGTATTTGTTTGTTTTTATATAATAACTGTTAATTTAAAATATAGGTCCTGATGATGAACTTGAAGCCGGGGTCGAAAATTGGCAAACTGATCATGCATCAAATGGTCACAACCAAGTGGTCGATACCTTCTCATCAATAATCAATAATAAAGAGAGAAATGAAACAGGAAAATATAAAAATGAACAAAAACTTTGTCAAATATCATCACTAAAAGTACAGGTCAACGGTTTGAGACCTCCAGCACAGAAACGGATAAAAGGAAAATTACCTTCACTTCTCAAAGTTCGAATTTGAAAAAAATCTCAAGAGAAATTTGAAAAAAATACTATCTCGGCATATGAAACATTGATTCGACACTGAAAAACAGAAAAGATTGTAAATATGAGTTAAGGTCAGGTATGTTGTTGATTATAAACCTTAAATTATAGAAAATATTTCCTCTGAAAACGTTCGCCAATAGAAAAAATTAATTAAATTATTTTACTTTTTTCCCAAAAACTTTACATTCCTTAACATGAATTTCAAGAAATTAATTAAAATTAGAACGTTTCAAAATAATTGTACTCACATCTATTATCACACATTACTGCTTAAATTTTCACAATGGACATTGATAAAACAAAAACCTAGACACTCGGTATTATTTGTACCTTTGGCTTCCATCCAAATTAAAAAATTAAAACGGACAAAAAAAGTAGCATGATTTAACAGGGAGGAGAAACAAACGTTTCCTTCTAGTATTAATGGTAGTTCACAACAGAATCATTNAATGAAGTTTGAAGGTATATAAAAATAACGGGTCAACATTAGTCTCTAAATAAATCATAATGCTTCCTAGTATACACTTCTATCAACATCATCATCCATTCTGAAAAGTAAAGGATTCAAAATGCTTCCGTGAGCAACAATAAAAAAATTGAACGGATCACCCTATTTACATTAAGGGTAGCAAATAATCAATGTTATTCTTCTTCTTATTTGCCTCACTTCAATAGTTTAGCACGATTCCTCAAAAAGGAGATCGCATAACTATGATATGCCTGAGACACTTTACAGGATTAAAGGATGGGATATGTAAGACAATGTTTGGGCAACATTGAGCTGATGGGGGTGAAAGTTGTTTCATTTTAAAATAAATTGAATCCTTGTTTGAGCCCCCACTTTACATCCGTACTCCCAGAAAGATTTTGATTGTGTCAAACGATTGGTAGCATTGCGTAATCATCAAAGGTATTCGAACCTCAAACAGATGAAAAATATAAAATATAAAATAATAATTCATTATGCTTTTTAGTTATATATATGCTCCAATAACGTAACGTAATTTACTAGAATTTTAAAAGGTATGTACTGGATGAAACACACGTGTGATATACCTATTTACTTTTCTGCTTGACAGGCGTTCCCATATGCTCTGGAATCATGGATTTTCAATGGAGACCATTCGTAAGGAACTGCTCAGTATCGATTTAACGAGAGGAGAGGTGCTCATGTGGGAATAAGCCGGAATGAGAAGGATTCGTCGCCTAGGAGGCGTTGCACTGGAATAATACAAGAGCGCAATCAATCGGCGACTTAGTGAATGTCCACTCAAGTGTGAAAAACTGTGGCAAAGTGCCTAAAATGCAAGATCTGACTGTTTCATCAGTGAAAAAAGGTGCTTAATTCAACTACCCCAGAATCGTAAATGAACCCAAATAATACCGGTCTTGGAAATGCCACGTACATCAGTACAGCTTTGACCTCGAGGACAGGTCAGCAAGCCGTTGCGACCAATGTGTCATGCAGACATGATCCCACACTATTTTCAAATGCATATTATACGAAAAACATAATCAATCATACGGTGTGCACTGGGAAAAGAATGCCGGTTAACCAGTGTTGCTGGAACAAAATCTGATTGACGTAAATAAATTGGACATTTAAAAATAGCTTTCTCTATCGTATTATTGTATAAGAACTACTTTGTTTAAATTAAATTTATGTTGTAACATTCTAAGTTTATATGATACTTGTTTCTACTCAATAAAACAAGTTTCTAAAGGAAACCCCAGTGCCAGACTCGATCCTGTTCTAAATCAAGACAGAGAAAGCAATATTTCAATTAATTCTAGATCGAGAAAGCAGCATTATTTGGGTGTTTTTCTTGAATTAATAAAAATATCACAAAATTAATTAAATATTTTGTATTAATTGTAAAATACATTTCCCGTCAAAAAGCCTACATGTACATAATAACTTATTCGCTTTTTAATATTCTCCTTTGAAGTGTTTACGAAGTTTGTTTTTTGATTCATTACCTTAATTGAGAATAATTTACGCAACTTTTCTCCATGGGCCAAAACGTTAAATCTTTTTTCCAATAATTCCACAAGTTTATTGCGAAACGAATTTACCATTCGGTAGAAACTCTCGTAATTTAGTAGAATTCTTTTAAAGATCACTAATTACATTTACGTTTGCTCGAAGAATCAAGAAAAAGAAGACTGGACGGTGGCGAGGGCTGTTGGTTCGACATAAAATATATTGGACTGAAATTAAAACGGCAGATTAGACGTTTGCGCTATTTCAAGGTCACCTTTATATTTAACGTATTGACGCAAGGATGCTAAGGACCTGGTAGTTGCAGAAGCGTAAACGTACAAAATAAACATTACCGGGCGATGGAGGCAAGTTAAGTTTAAATGAGATTGAGGGCAAAAGGTGTCAAAAACTTTTAAGAAAAAAAAGCATTTAGCTTAGCAAACTAAAATATTACGGTGCAGTTAGTTAACCATATATATATATATTACAACCACATCCAATACCTCGCCTGTTTTACACAATTAATATGGTTTTATTGAAGGAAAGATATATAACTTGCTATATTTCTANCGGGAAAAGTCGACATGTCGGCAGCATGCTGCGGGATGATGTGGGCTTCTACACCGGACCTCACGGAAGAAGCAGATTTACCGTGCGCGGTGAGTCACTCCTAACATGAAAATTTAAACGTTTGGTAACGCCTGACAGTTAAGTGCGGACGCAAAAGAACCTCCATGGTAAATGTATTGCGACCCTAGTGGGAAACATATGTTTGTTAATAAAACACATAAATATTTTAATATTGAAACAACAAATGTACATACATTTTTAGAAGTCGGGTTTCATGAAAACATACGAATTGTAAAATGTAAACTATAAAATGAATAATTTTAAAATATTTCCATATTTATATATAATTGTATTTATTTCACAATTAATTAAGGTTTTTAGTTGAGATGAAAAAAAGTTAATGGCACGAGAGTGATTCGAACCCACGACCTTCGGCTAGTTACGCCGCTGCTCTACCACCTGAGTTATCGTGAACTCGATCCACTCGGACATCAACTCCCCATCTCAACCCCAACTTATGAGTTTTCCCTCCTTTTGCCATTTTTCAAATGATATTTATTTTAATTGGACAATATCTCCAACAAAAACTACTTCGTTAACTTAGTATATGGGAATTTTCTGTAAGCGCCATATCTGTCTGGAAACTTGTAAAAGTTTATGTTCTTCTAACCGATTTTGTATTTTTTTCCTTAAGGTATCAGTAAAATAACTAATGAATCAGACTCGAATTATATATACGAAAAGAAAGAGAATTCCAATTCCAATTCTGATGAGAAAAGAAAAAGAGTTAGAGAGTTAGAGACACATATCTCGGGTCCATCATTTGTCAGGATTGGCTTTTCTTCTGAATCCGTCATTGTTGCCGTAATAATTTAAACCATGTCTTCACATTTCATAACAACGTTTAATCAAGTAAAGTTCACAAAGGATGCATCGAAGCCCAAGTCAGACAATACACTCTAAAGAACGCACATTCCATGACAAGCTGACAAAGGTCTAGCTGATCCATTTCCTCAACTATCTGACTAGTCTGTACAAGTTCATCCAATAACTCGAAAAAGTGCAACCACTTTTTGCAGCAACGGTTCTTTGCCAAAACCTCCCCAGAGAGCACAACATGGGGCTTTCTTCCCCTTGGCAGCTATTACCCTCCAGTTTCATTATACGGTACATTACCTGGACACATCCTCATTGTAATGATCCAATGCAATAATACAATAATCCTTACAAAATGAATTATCAATTAGTTACACAATCTTCTCCCGCCATGCGCCATATATATATATATCTGTCTCCTAGAATTATAGTTTTTAAATTGTATTTAGGCGGTTCATCCAAATAGTACAAGGTAGCTGTTAGTATTTCTGTCATTCTTATTTGTATGTTAATAAATTTAGTTAATTAATACAAATTGTTACATTAATTTAATAAATTTTTCCTTTTCTCAAACCAAATGCCGGGACTGTGCAACGGGGCTCCAAGAAGACTCCAGCAGACCCTTCCCAACCCTTGGTTGCAAGGGGGGTTTCCAGGCACAAAATAATGGTGACGCACGTAAACGTGACGCACTCTCTAAAGCACAAGCTGGCTCATGTTTCCTCTTTTAAGCAGCCTCTACATGCATTTGGACGATAGAACCTACGAAGCGTATAGCTTGCGAGGATGCTAAGACTAGCCTACCTCGAGAAGCGTTAAGGGAGTGGCTGGTTTGAGAGCTGGCCACGAACGGCCGGTGCTGCATCAGAGTTAGTGTACCATATCCTGTCAATATACGGACGGGGGAGGGTGCAAACTAATTGAACTGCGGCGCAGCGTATTTTCTTTCGAAGTTCAAGCCCAGCTGAATGGGTAAGGTCTCACAATGAGTGACGAGACCCCTGGAAGGAGCCTAGAGGAGAGGCTGTGTTTCATTCGTGGCCGTAGTNAAAATCTATAAGCACCGTTGAAATCCCCGTTAATCCCCGTCCTGTCTGCAAATACGTGAGAAGGTGCATAACCATCTGTTCTACGGGGTAACAGAAATGTTCCAAGGTTCAGCCCCTGTTACACTGGGAATGGAAGTTGGCCGTGGTGACACCCCTGTCGGGTACCTGGAGAAGAAGCTGTATTCTATCTGTGACCTTCGCACGAAACTTGCGTATGACCATTGTTATTCACCCGGCCTCTCGGGATGTGAAGGATCGGACAATCGAGGCGTATCGCTTTGAGGATGCTCAGACTACGCTGACGGAGTCCCGCGAATGCGTGAGTAGTGGCGGATGGAAATGGGTAATGAATCGGTTGCTCCTATTCGAGTGTGCTTTGGTGGCAGATGAACGTAATGTGCTCGATTGGTGGCTTTTATCACTGCTGTAGGCAGTCTCCTCTAGGGGGTGGGTAGCAATTCCACTTTAAACGAAACCGCGGCCGGAGAGGATCCGGAAGTTTCTACGCTGGGGAAGCCTTAATACTCTCTTCTTTTCTATCTAGGGATAGCGCGGGAGACCAGGCTGATGTATTTCGGCCTAGGTAGCACTTTGCGCGCGGCATACGGTTCGATGCTTAATGAGGACCCGACCACTCGGAATGGGCCAGCGGGGAGCGAGGTTGTCTTGGCCTCTCGGGACTGAACTGCCTCTACACCAATGCTGCGGCAGTAACCCACTTCTGTCGTATGCGGAGGTGCGTCAGCTTTCATCTTGAGAATCAAAACGTCCGATAAGTCCGGAAGGCTAGGTGTGGACGTTAAAGATCCTCATTGTCCTTTTAAGGACGACCGAGTATGCAGGAAAGCAAAGTCTAGGAGGGATGGTTAGGGTTTTTCATCTCATAGGGTAACATTCCCCAGCTCAAGCCATACCATCAGCTCTGGTGCTTAGGGATAACCAACGATGGAGGCAAAATTCCTATTACCTTCCTTTCCTTAGAGAGTTAGAGACACATATCTCGGGTCCATCATTTGTCAGGATTGGCTTTTCTTCTGAATCCGTCATTGTTGCCGTAATAATTTAAACCATGTCTTCACANAATCGGACCATGGTCAATATGAACTTTTTTGTTCATTTTAGGGTGAAGAATCTACTGGAGAAGTTTGTAGCACGAGTAGCAATTCACCCTGTATATATACGCTACGTGAAATGGACCTATGGTGCAGGGGAGTTGGGGCTGGATGACCTGCACCAAAAGATGCGAAAACCGGCCAACGGCAAAAAAATGATAGATCAAGACAGATTAGTAGAAAATGAAAAATAGATGTATACATTTTTTAAAAATATTTTAATGTTTAAAACGAGAATAGTTGGTCGTTTGTATTATACGCGCTATCAAATAATTTTTGAAATTATTTAAATATACTTTGGTCTAAGATGAATGTAATAAATTACCTACTCTCAATCAGGAAATTTAAATAGCTGACAAATTGGCTGTGGAGGTCGGAGCGTCGTTTTTACAAGGCAAAATAAAAACATCAACGCAAAAAAAAAGCAGGGTGGTGAGCAAAAGTCAAATTACATTTGATGCCGGCCCCCTGATGCTGTTTGCTTCTACAATAGACAATAGAATTAACTGAAATAAGAGATTGGAACTATAAAACCAGGCCCAGGTGTGTTTCTCTTAAGGGCCTTTGCTTTACGAGTAATAAAAAGAGATT